CGAAATGTGCAATTCTACTACAAAAATTGTTAGGTCACATCCATCGTACCCTAAAATTTAAGGATAAATTATCGATAGGTTTATCTTTAGAATTTATTATCTTTTAAATTTTATTGATAAATTTATGAACTGATAAATTAATCAATTTTCTTGCTGTTATAAATAAATTAGCAGTGATAAATTTATCAGTTATGACATATAAGTAAATAAGTTTAATTAATATGACTGATTAATAAGTGTTCCTAAATTTAAAAAGTTCATATATGAAAAAAAAGGCCTTAAAAATAAATTTTTATATGTCAATTTTTTATTTATCACAAATTCAATTATGTAATTATGTTATTATAAATGAATTTTAAATTTCAAGTTATAAGCTTTTATCACTTCACTTGTGCCAGCCCAGCTTCTAACTGCGACCAGCCCCACAACCACCTAGCTCTTCCTCCCCTAAAACCTAACCCTTTTGTGCACAAAAAATGAGATGGAAGTGGAAGATGAGTAGAAAAGATGAAAATTTTCATTTAATCAAATTTAAAGAAAATATTTATAAATTAATGAAAAACTTTGTTATATTAAAGTCAAACACAATTTTTTTTTCATGAAATTGATATTTATTTTTGAAATTATCACTGATTTATTATTTTCCCAAGAAAAAATGCTATGAAGGAGTGGGGTTACCAAAAGAGAGATGGGGGTAATGGGGATGGCTGGAAAGGGCTACTAGCGCTGAGGTTGTGGGGGAGAGTGTTGGTCGAATAGAGTGATAGTTGGAATGGGAGGTGGGTTTGGGTAAGACTTTTGAGAGGTTAGGAATAAAGATAAAATTGAAATTTATTGTTAAGATAAAATTATAATAAAAAATTGAGAATTTTTTTTTAAAGTCCCTAATATTAAGATTTTATAAGATAAAAGATAAATAACATTTTCGTAGCAGTTAAGGTCTCTCAATATTTTCATAAAGAATATTCTATTCAGAGAAATTTTGCCCGACTCAGAGAAATTTTAATCTTCACAAAAATTTATATGTGAAAATTGAAATTTCTTTGAGTCGAGACCGAAATTTCTTTGAGATAAATTTTCTTTATGAAAATATTAAGGAACATTAACTAATTAAAAAAAAAATCTTAGACCTCTTCTACTACACAAAGTTAGAGAGGGATGTTTTACTTAATTTTCTCAAAAAAACTAGAAGAAAGTAGAGATCCAAAGAAAAAATGCGACACTATTAGCAACGCTCTATATTAAATAATACAATTTTTTCATAGAATAATCGAGCTGTTTTTGGATAAATTTTCTATATTTGTTTCAATGTTTGCTTTGTTTGTTTTTTTTTTTTATAATCTTTTTTGGCATTTTCTTAGTTTGTGTTAATCATATTATTTAATTTTGATGATATCTAAAATATTATTTGTAACAATTTGAATTTTTTAATATACATATGTAATTATATATATATATATATATTAATATATATATATATGTTAAATATTAGTTAAATAAAAATATTTTTGAAAACTTTACTATTCACTTTTTGAAAAATATGGTTAATTACTATTCATCTTTTGACAAATTGATTAATTATATTATTTTGACAAAAATGATTGATTGGTTGTATTATTTTGACAAATTTGATATTTATGGGTTGTCTTATTTTGACAAAATTAATATGGAGTGGTAAAATATTTAGTTTAAAATCTTTACAACATATACAATATTTTAAAGATGACATATCTTTTCAGATCCATCATAAATATTATCAAAAGATTTTTCTGTATGCAAATATTTGATTAGAACATTATATATATAATGCATATAATATAAATAGAATACATCACGTGCGCTATTAAACTTGTTACACTAAATTGATTATATCATATTATAATCAAACAAGAAGAAAAAGATGGAGTTATATATATATGTATATATATATATATATGGAGCAAATCATCTGTTTATTTAAAAGTTGTGAACTTTGTATTAAATTGTCTACAAAAACGGTGGCTCCATGATAAAAAAAAAATAAATAAATAAACAAAAGGAAAAGAAAAAATTAGTCTTGTTTTTATCTTTTTAATTATTAACATCTGCTGACTATTTAAAATCAAGGAGTATGCTTATATAAGCCATGACATCAAGAGCGTGCTTATGTAAGCCATGACATCAAGAGCGTGCTTATGTAAGCCATGACATCAGGAGCGTGCTTATGTAAGCCATGACGTCAGGAGTGTGCTTATGTAAGCCATGACGTCAGTAAGGAGCGTCCAACGGGTATATTTTTGTGTATAAATAGAAGTGCTGTGTGTGGAGAAAAATCAAGAACTTGAAGAGAAAATTTTCTGTGAGCTCCAAATTGTATTCTTCTCTTTCACTTTCAGATCTAAGTCTAGCTTTTGTTCTTACACTTTCATATCTACTCTTTGTGAGAGAATTATTGTAAAAGTGGGTTCAATTACCACTTATTCTTGTTCCTTATTTTTGTGAGAGATTTTGTAAGGGTAAGGCATTTATTGTTGAGTGAGGCTCAATAGATAAGAGTAAGCTCTGTGCCAAATCCACAAGCTTGGTGGTGTATTTATTCAATTGATAGTAAAGAAATTCTCAAGGAGGTTCCTTGGGGAGTGGACGTAGGTCTGGCGTGCCGAACCACTATAAATCGCAGTGTTTGATTTTCTCTCTCTATCTGTTCTACTTTTATATTGATAATTATTATTCTATTTTTTTTATTTATTAAAATTCTGAATATTGTGTTATTTTTAATATTGTGAAATTTTTAATAACCCAATTCACCCCCCTCTTGGGTTGTCTATCTGGGATAACAATTTGGTAAAACAGAAGACGTATTTTTGTATATAAATATTCAAAATTCATTTTAACTTTTTGTTTCATACTCATATTAAATTGAGTTTTATTCATTTTTTACTCAAATGAAAAAAGATTTAATTTAAATATTGACTCAAACATCCAACAGTTTGGTAAATAACACTGAGATTTTTTTTATTATAAAAAATATGAAAAAAATTATAGACTATTTGATGTTGAGATTTTAAAAATGATTTTTAATTTTTTTTTTGTTTTTAGTGAATTTTTTAAATATTTAAAAAAAAATTTGTTTCTTAACTTATATGGACTTAAAAAATAAAATATTTGTAAAGAAATATTAAAAAAATATATATTTAGTGATTTTTTAAAACTATGTTCGTATATATTTTTTTTTACTTTTTAGGTATATTTAAATTAAATAAATTTTAAAAGTAAAAAAAAATACATAAAATAGTTCAGAAAGCCACCAAATTATGTAATAACGCAACAATTAATTTTCAAAGAGAATACAAGTTTACCATTAGAGTTTTTATTGAAATATTTAAAAATCAGTGCATAAAAACTTCAATCATGATTGGGGGATATAATTTACGTGTATTATAGAACTTTTTTTTAAAAAAATCAAACTATTTTAACTTAATTTGTTATTTTTTTTGGATTAAAACTCATTTAAAATTGACTTGAATAATAAACATACTAAACTTTTATATTTTTTAAACCCGTTAAGTTTTAATTGTTTGGAAAATTTTAAATAAATTATATTTTATTTCAATTTTTTTTTTTGTTTTTAGTGATTTTTTTATTTAAAATTATGTCAATTTTTTATTTTTTTGGTCTACCTTGTCCATATGAATCTAAAGGTAAAATTATTTTTTTTAAAAATCAAAATCTACAGTGATAAAAGTTCTTATAAACCAGTCAGTTATAACAATCAATTAAAAATCACAATAATAGACATAAATACAAAAAAATAAAATAAAAATTTAGAACAATTGTTTGGCCTTCTTCTACCAGACGATAGCTTTGAGAGCATTCCAATTTGCTTGACATTTCTAGTCAACATCTCCACGTTAGCAAAGAACCCTTCTCGCCTGTACAGCATCAACAACTGCCTCCTCCAATCTCTCTCTTGCGCCACCGTCACTCCTCCTCCGGCCACCGTCGGCTTCATTCTTCCGGAGACACAGTAGGTTCCTGCCGAAACTCCGTCGAGCTCATCTCTGCCGAAAATAGGGAAAATCTCATCGGCAGAGGTGGGGAACTCTTCATCTTCATCTTCATCTTCATCTTTATCTTCGTTGCTCTTCCTTTCTTCTTCTTCTTGGACCCCTGGCATCTGATCAGTCTCAGTCTCAGTCTCGTGCTTTTTAATTCTTAGCTGCTCTTCCAAATTACTGTTCTGGTTCCGTATAGAGTCCACCTCCCATTTCAGGTCCTTCACCTGTACCAGAATATCCTCTTTCTCTTGGAGCATCTTCCTATTTTTTTCTGACGACTCTGCGATTGTTTCTTCCAATTCTCTGACCCTGTTCTTTGCACCTTGAAACGCGTTCAAAATTTCATGAACACGGCTCTCAAAGTAGCCGTAGTCTTTCTCAATCGTGCTGAGATTCTCCATCAGTAACTTCACTTCATCTCCTTTCTGGGTACGCAGAGAATCCAGCTCAAGTTCTAAACCCCTCATTCGAGCTGATGTTTCACTCTTATGGATCTCATGCATCTCGGTGTGACTCGCAAGTTCCCTTTCTCTCTCACCCAATTTCTCCCTCAGCTGGCTACATTAGGTGACAAGTTCTTGTAAAAGCTTTGAATTCTCACCATTCAAAGTTTCAGCTTCCATATTTAAATCACTGATCATCTTCTCTGCTTCCTTCTCTTCAGTAGTTTCTGTCAACTCCCTTTTCAAATCAGCCACTTGAAGTTCTTGCTTAATGTCATCTGTCACCTTCTGAAACTCATTTTGCAATTTTCCATTTTTAGTGCCCTTTTCGTTTGAAGAATAAGCTGAATCCAAGTCCAAGCCGGAGGAAGAAAAAGAATAATAATAATCTGTATTCCCATCTTTTTCATCCTCAACTAATGTCTTCTCCACCGACTTCCCACCGTAGCTGCCGAAAATGGATCGAAGAAACCGAGAAAATTTTGAGGGTTTTTTAATAATGGATCATGGTGGTTGTTGAGAAAAAACAACTTGCTGAGCCATTGTAATTCTTCGGAAAAAGGACAGAAGACAGAGATGTAGTTCTTGGGAAAAAAGACAGAAGGAAGACAGAGATGTAGAGATGTAGGGAGTGGCTTTTATCATGAAAGGTAGTTCATTTTTTTCCATATTCTTGCTTTGGTAGGTTCTTTTTTCCATACAAAATTGGGGTGTCAAATGGAAAGTATTGACATTTTCGTTCCATCTTCATTTCCTTAACTCTCTCTCTCTCTGAGTGTGTGTGTACGTGTGTGTGTGTGTGGAACATTTCTTAAATTGCAAAGTAAGTTGAGACATTTCATCCTATTGTGTTATTGTGTTGAAAATAAATTAAAATAAAATTGCTGATTTGCATTGATAGTGGACACAGATAAGGTAGGATTTGTTGAATAGACCGTTCATCTTTTAATGCTTGCCTAGTAGATCATCCATGTAAGAAATTAGTGTTAATAGAAGGGCAATTTTTTTTTTTTTTTTTGTGTGGATAATTTCATGAAATGTGAGAGTTTTGGTGATTTGGAGAGTTATTGATTTGTTTGATTTGAACATTATGTGGGATTAGTACATGGGTTTTGTGATCAGAAATTGCAATTTATGTTTGAATGCTGATATGGGCATTTTTTTTTTTTTTTTTTCAAATTCAGTTCTCTAATTCAACATAAACAATATTTTGAAAGAGCTATATTTCAGCTACTATAAGGGTAACTTTTTTGGTCTTTATATGAGGGTACACTACCGCTACACATCAAGAAAAGCACTCAGAAAATGAAATGTATAAACTAGATACATTTTGATTGTAATCCACACCACCCAACGTTAAATTTATATCATGCAATATATTAGCACTTTTTCTGTAGAGAGGACATATCATTTTTTGTAGGACGAGCATTCAAAATATACGAACTTCAATGTGAAAACTACGAGAAGTGAGCTAATTAGTATATATCTTATGGGTGATACTATGGTACATTTAGATGTACCATACATTTAGTTATGAACTTATATGATTTTATGTCATAATCAATACCATATTAGTCATAACCGCTATCATATTACTCATAACTTAGTTATGTTCAGTTATTTATTTATACCATATTATCTCATAATCAGGTCACAACTAAATTATTTAAATAATTTAACTCTCAAATAGGCAACCGGTGTAGCCGGTTACAAGGGGTAACAAAATTGAATTAGTCGTGTTTGGCCCTCTTGTTGGCTCTTCTCCTCCCTCTTCTCTTCTGCTATAGCCGAAGTTTCCGAGGACCACCAGCCTCGTTGGCGATCCGGGCTTCAGCCATGTCGACATCTTCTTCACAAGCTCTCACTCTCTGGACGTCTCCAACATGGGTTTGTGAGCAAAGGCCTAGTCATCGTCTTTTCCCTTCCCTTCCCGCCGAATCGAATTTTTCCAAGAACTCTTTTTTGTAGTTCAGGTTTGTTACTAACTCTAAGCTTCATCTAAATGTGCCATTGGTGCTCTGATTTCAAAACCCTAACCCTTATTGAATATCTGTTATTAATTTTTTTCATTAGTCAAAATTAATATCTATAGCCACCCAAGATAGTTGTGCCATTGGGGCTTTGATTTCAAAACCGTAACCGTAAAGAATGAATATCTGATATTTGTTCTCATTCATATTCACATTCCTTTAATTGCTTTCACTTTGCTTTGGCATTGTATATCCACTATTTTTTTTCTTATTTTTGTACCCAAAGCGAAAAATCTAAACGAGGTTTTTATTTTTATTTTGACATTGTAAATTTTTCTATATAAAAAAAAATTCTTTGCTTGTAAGTTACAAAATTACTTTGTTAAGTTTTTATTAATATATATATATATATTTTAAAGTTTGGCATATCCAATTTTTTATTAGATACATGTAAAGTAAAAAATCTAGACAAATGAAACAAACACTTATTTTAACTAAGTAATGTGTAAAAGAAAATTTATAGTAAAATAATATAAGCTAATTGGTGTGAATATCATAAACGGGTAACGTTTGCCAAGGGATTCCTTGCTCAGATTCATATCATAAATGGGTAATGTTTGCCTGTTTGTTAGATGATTCAGTCAGATATGATTTTAACTAGACTTTTGGAATACATGCATGTAACACATAGAGGCCTCTTTCTGCCTTCACCATTTTTTGAAAGAACAAGGGATAAAGAAAACAAACCAAAGCCTCTTCATGGGACAGAGACACTTCAGAAGGGAAGGCAATTAATATGTCAAGGAGGGACTGGAATAGTTTCCACCCCTCTTTTAGAGTCCAAAATTATTTTTCGTTACTTATTAACTGCCTTGCCTTATTAAACAAAGTTGTGTTAACTAATATATAGTCCCATGGTTTACTTATGAGAGTATCTAATTCCCAAAAAGCAAAGAGGGCTGAAGATTTGCATTTACAGATGGAAATTTATGGTGAGAATTGCAATCATTTTTTGGTTCCTTTTATTTATAGTTTATTTTCTTTCTCCAGGTAGAACATGATATATGATAGTGTTTAGGCTCAGACCCTGCTTGATATAATTATCGCAAGGATTGGTAGGATCCGTTCAAGTATATTTTATTGTTTGTTAACCTTTCTTTATTGGAGCCATTCCACTTTCTATAATGTGGAGATCTTAGGTTCAATGCATGGATGCTAATTTTATACACAGACTGGAAGTCGAACTCTATTTCTTCTTGATTGATGCAGTCCAATATTATTTGAAGTGGGATTCTTCTACTTCAGGCTAATGGAAACATCCATTTTGTTTCACCGGAATGTTACATGGTTTTGCATGAGACACAACCTTAACCATGTGGTGCATAATTGTTTTGTTAAAAAAAGGAAAAAAAGAATAATAAAAATAAACATGTCTTGCAAAATGTGATATAGGCAACACATATTTTAGTAGTTGATAAGGGTTACCCTCTCTTAAGCATTGAGTGAGCCTTAATGCAAAGAAAGTATCAAGCTGATTTTCTGACTGTTACAATTGGTGATGGATATTAAATGTTGTCTCTTTCCTATGCAATCTATACAAGTTTAGGTATCACACAGTTGTCTGATCTACTTGTGAATGACTGTTTTTTATAGTTTAGAATCAAGACATACGAGCCAGTTATGTTCTATCAGCCAGTGTGATGCAAATTCTCTTTTGAGTGAGGTAATATAATAGGTTATATTCACATTTTTGCTTTGATATCTCAGGTATTACTTAACATGCCTAGATGTGCATATGATTTTATCCAACATATAACATGATTTATGTTGGAAGTGGAATACCCTGGGTCTTGGAGAAGTTGCAAGATTGAAACAAATTCTGTCGTTCTTTGAACTGTATCTTCTGAATCTGAACCCTATTCTGGAACATGCTTATGTCTGTATCATTATATTTCTTCTATTATTTGCTTCATTTTTTCCTATGATGTCTTGCAAACTTTTTGCAAAACTCATGGTGTAGCAACATTTGATATAACTTGTTCTTTTCTTGTTAGCTTGACACGTAATTCAATGTAACAAACTTTTGACATCACTATTTGCACGACAAGATAGGCATATCACTTTTTCCTCCCAGAACCATAATTTCTTCATATTCATGCACATTGTTAGTGGCCCTCCCTCTTTAAAAGTTGTGGGTTTTTAGATTTTTCAATGGAGAAGAAAGAGTTTGGAGATAGGTGGAGGAAATGGATCAGGGACTTTCTTTCTTCTTCGAATCTTTCAGTAGTAGTTAATGGAAGTGGGGATTTGTTTAGAGCCACTAGGGGCTTAGACAAGGGGTTACCGTATCCCTATTTATTTTTACATTAGTGGTTGATGCTTTGAACTGATTGGTTGATAGGGAAAATGTGGGTTTGGTGGATGGCTTTTTGATATGTAGGGATAATGTTTCCATGTTCCACTTTTAGTTTTCAGATGATAACATTATCTTTTGGTGAGGAAGTCAAAATGGTTTATTTGCCTTCCTTGTTAAGAGTGTTTGAGTTGGTTACAGGGCTTAAGGAGAATTTGGACAAAAGTACCATTGTGAGGATTAATTTTCGCAAAGAAAGTTTATAGGGATTGGTTTGCTGGTATGGTTGTCTCATTGAGTCTTTACCCCTGAAGTATTTAAGGCTTCCTTTGGGGGTAATCCCAGGTCTGGTGTTTTTCTGGGCTCTAGTGATGGATAAGATTGGCAAGAGACAATATGGTTGGGTTGGGAATAAAGAAGCATAAACTTGCATCTGAATGTATTTTTAAAGTGGAACACCAAAATGAAGATCATTATGCAGTTTTCAAAAAGTCTCCAAGTACCAGAATTAGTGTTAGCCACTATTGCACTGGCATCAACATTCAGCATATTTGAAATACCATGAGGGTTTTTTTCCTCTTTTATAATATCTCATCGATAGTGCAATGATACAATACTTCAAATTTTTCTTTCTTATTTTGGTGCATATAGTGTTAATGTATGTTGTATAAGAGACTTCCTACTATTAACAAGTGTATGGTATGTTTGTTGACGTGACAACATGCATCAGAAAATGGTTTCAATGCAAGCAAAATGCTCACTTTTTTTTTTTGAAACGTTAGAAAATTATGAAGAAAGGAAAATCATTGGTTCTGTGTTTCCACTACAAAGTCTGTAGTTTTTTTTACTTTTGTTCTTTTATTTTTATTTTTTGTGTGTGGTAAATATCATATAAGAGATTGATGACTGTAAATAGTTTACTTGTGTACACATTATATCTCCTTCTCTAAAGGGTAATTTCCACTAGCCTTTCTTGAGGGTCTTTCGACAACTGTAAATAGTTTCTTTTACATTCATCTTTCAGCAATACAATCAGTTATTGGGACAATTTATTTTTATTTCTGTCTTCTGCAGATTTCAGGGGCATCTTTAATGCTTGAATCAGCCCACATTGCTAAGCCAGCTGCCTTGTGGCTTGATGACTTTCTTGTATGGATGTCACCCGAGGCTTTTGGTTGCTGTTGGAAATTTGTAGATGGCAGTTATTGTCCCCCTGATGACCAGGTTGGTGATATACCATGCTTTTCATGTGGATAATTAGTGGGAATGATTGCTGTCTAGATCGATGTCTGGAAATGCTCACTGTTTTTTCTTTTCTTAGTCGAAGTCCTTAATTGTTAATTAAAGTTTTTATTAATATGCCCTCTCTCTCTGTCTGTCTCAAGTATCATCCATATTAATGTATGGTCCAATAGTTTATTGTATCTTGTATTTTTGAAAGGGGGAAAAAAATAAAAGAAGGAAAAAGCTACAATTTTGAATGATTTTTGAGATGTTAATGTGTTGTATTTCTTAAAGAACCAGTTGGTATGGCGTTTGTAAGAATTTATGTATTATTGATTTTGATTATATTGATATATTACAATGATTCCTATATATAGAAGAGAGGATGTGGGAAGAGAATAGGTGAGTGTGTAGTAGGTATGGAGTAGGTGAGGAGTAGGTGGAGAGTAGGTGAAGTAGGTGAGTGTGTAGTAGGTGGTAGTGGTAGGTGTGTAGTAGGTGAATTTTAACATAGCCCTATGTGCTGAAAAGATTTCTAATAGCTATGCATGTGATCAACTTATGTCAACTTAACAATAAACACGAATCCAAAATCTAGGAAACATATTGAGGCGGTAGCTTTTATTTTTTTCATCAGTTAATATTTTCATAAAGGAAAAGCAACATGGTTAGCGTTCATTTTGATATTGTGAATCCTTGATTTGATGGTTTTGAATGTTTTCAAATGTAAAATGACCTTTGTTTGTCGTTACTCAAGTATGATGCATCATCCGATAACTGACTTGGCCATTTTTCTTTCTTTAGCCTCCTTATTGTTCACCTGATGAAGATTCTTGTGACTTGGATGGCATTTGCAAGGATTGTACAACTGTAAGATCCCACTACTTTATGTATTTGAAAACACATCCCAGTGTCCTTCTGTCAGTACTTTGTACTTTGTAGGGCTGAATGTACTTATGGGTGGGCTATCTTGCAATTAATTTACAACTTACAACTTATGAAATGCAAAAGGAGTTATCTAAAACTAACATTGTGCAATTGTTCCAGTGCTTCCTTCACTCGGATCTGGATAATGGTCGTCCATCTATAGCTCAGTTCAAGGAGAAGTTGCCATGGTTCCTCAATGCACTGCCCTCTGCTGACTGTGCAAAGGGTGGCCATGGGGCTTACACAAGCAGTGTGGATCTGAATGGTCTATTCTACTGCTTACACATATATATCTTGTCGTAATGTAATCAATCCAAAGAAATGTACTATGATATAGTGCTTAAATATATCAGAACTTCCCTTTGGCTTGTATCATCAAATGAATTATTAACAGCTTTTACCCTGTTGTCAGGTTACGAGAGTGGTGTTATACGAGCCTCTGAGTTTCGTACTTACCACACATCACTAAGGAAACAGGTACAGAAGGATCTTTTTAGTGGATTGATACTTTTGCTACTTTGCTTAACTTCACTCAGAGAATATTCCTCCTGATCTGCTTGTCCGTTTCTACAGGATGATTTTGTTAATTCAATGCATGCTGCACGAGAGTTTAGCTCAAGGGTTTCTGATTCTTTGAAGGTTCACAAATTTAACTTGCAGTTTTGTCCCGGAATATTCTTTTGCTGTTATAGTTGCATATGAATATGGTTTGGGGTATTGGCTTTCAGTGAAAGTACTTATTTGACAAACGTATAAAGTTATGGGTGTTCTTTTCCTCTATGAGATATAGACCATCTGCAATTATATGTCTACAGAACATAGAAAGTGACAAATCTACACTTGCCAAAGATGTTAATTTATTTGTTGGACTGTATTGGTTTTTCATATCGGAAGTGCTTCTCATTTCTTTGGTTTTTCTCTTCCCTTGTGTGCAGTCTATCCTTAGTATCAAAAGTATTCTCAGCAAATTATTTGAGACTTTCAATCAATACCTTGACTATGATTAATCTTTAACTGAGTTTCTGGAAATACATGTCAAACAAGATTCTAGACTAGGTGTTTGCTCATGTTATTTATTCAGTTGTGGTTAAAGCTTCATCAATTATACACTGCATAGAGACAATTATTCTCTTACAAGTCAGGTTTTGATTGAGATCCATTCTTGAGACAGTAACCAATTAATGCCATAACTCACGTAAGACATTTTTTGAAGAATAATTCCGGCTCACTTATGATGCAACATTAATTGCATTTTCCTGGTCAATTAGTTATGCAAGTGGGCTGATATTCCAAAATGTAACAAAATAAGTTGTTTGTAGGAAGTCCTAGTAACTTCTAATAAAATGTGTAATTTATGAACAATTTCTCTTGTTCATCTCTTGTTGCATTGGCAATTTCGCTGCCTAATAATTTGAGCTCTTCTTATCTTCTGAAATCAATGTTCCCTTCTTTCATTCTTGTTTGGAGTTATCTGCAATGCAAGTACTTAATTTTTCTTTTTATGCTTGAAGGCTCACAATGGTGATGAATTTTTTCCATTTTTATTCAATATATTCACAGAAGTTATTTGGAAGTGTACCCTTGCACCATGCATTTGGTTGACCCATTCATGGCCTGATCATTTAGATAATTCTTTATTGCATTTCCATTCATGGCCTAGTCGGTTAGATATTCTTTATGGTATTATTGACACATTCAATTTAAGTGGTAGTGCCAAGGAGAAGAATAAATAAACAATCAACCCTCAAGATTATAGTAATTGGTTTTTCAAATGACTTGGGGCTGTGGCTGAGGCTGTATGCATGAGGCAATTTATGTGTCTAAACAATATTTCTTTTTCTGGTGTGTGGCGTATGCTCACTTTATTGAAGCTTAGTGAGGCCCCTTCCAAACCTTTATCCCCCCAAAAAATTGTCTTTTGCTTTGAGTCTACTCCCTTGAACTCTTATCAATAGTTTTTTCTTCTTTTTTACTTGGGATATGGAATCTGACATAGGCAGGCAGTATGTTCAGGTCTTTTACATCTTATTCTAAGCCTATGCTCTTGTCATGAAGTTGTGTCTTTAACGCATTGACTGTACTTACCTGATGCAAATCGAGATCTTTCTGTATTCTGTGTTCTATATTTTTTTTGAACAATATCTAGATATATGGGAGACAGCTGTGATCAACATTGCTATAGCACTTGGTTGGTATTCAAACTCTACACTACAATGATTTACATTTGCAGAGCCCTTTCACTCCATGTGACAAAGATTGGAGTTTCCAATTTTGTGATGTTATTGTCCTGGTGGTTGCTAGTAATTCCATTAAATTCTTTCATTTTACTGCTATCTCTGCTTGAATTGTTGTTTCATGCTGCTTTCAAGTTGTTCTGTATGATATGATCAAGTCATCTTTGTGGTGGTTAGAAGCCTCCATTAGTAAAGACAGTATTTATTTCTTTTGTGAAACATAATTGAAAATTTTGTTCGTTTGAACGCAAGTCTTAGGACTTCAGAATGTGTAGCTAGTATTCTGATTGAAGGTGCTATTTTTTGCTGGGATTTTCTGTTCATTTATCTAATTCCAGATGTTAGAGATACACATGTATTTTATTACCTTCTAATTGTGACTAACATCACTTAACAATATATTATGTATTTGTATCGTTTCATGCCATTGGAAGCATTATTTTGAGCAATTATTGACTATCTAATTTCTTGATTTGATAGGTGCTGCATTTCTTGTTTGCCTAGTTATCACCTCCAGGTTTGCTTTCTCTTCTAGCCCTTAGTTCAGTGTTGAGCCATATTTCTGCCTTCGTGAGAGATAAAAAAATTCCTCTTGGATGGTTAATATTTTCTTTGTTGAATTTAATAATCTTTACTTCTATTATTTTTCCTTGCCTGTTAAATGCAGTTTATGGAGTTCAGCTATCATTGTTCTTGTCCTGGCCATGATTGCTGTGGATCTTTTGGTAAATCTTCTTTATTGACAAAACATATATTGTGCTTCTTCTAAAACATTTATAACATTCTTGTTATGTATTTAGTTCATATTAATTGTTCATCGTTTAGTATGACTTATATATTGGCTACACAATTTGTCCAAAGAAAAAAAGTGAAATCGAAATTTTCTTGTTAAAAACTCTGCAGGGTGTGATGGCAATTCTGGATATCCAACTGAATGCTGTTTCTATGGTGAACCTCATAACGTCAATAGGGATTGCTGTTGAGTTCTGTGTGCACATATGAAATGCCTTCTCTGTCAGTATTCAATTGCACTTTTTATTTTGTTTCAAGGATTTGTAGTAGTGATTACTTCTTGTCTTATTGAAGGAGGCAGTAGCTGTTGTTTGGCGTAGAGCCAATTCAACAGGACTTGCTAGGAAAACCAATTGTTCTGTTGACAACATTTCTGCTCTTAACACAGGTAAGCCATGGAGATAGGAGCCAACGAACAAAGGAGGCTCTGCGTACGATGGGATCTTCTGTTTTCAGGTTTATTACCATTAATTACCTTGATATGTGAGAGACGTTCTGTAAGCATGTTGAAATTTCTGAGCAATACTTAGCTGAAAAGTGATAATATGAAAGTCAGATGCGAGTATATCTGACAGAAATGCAGAATGCAGAAGTTAGACTGATAAAATGCATAAATATGTGTTGTGTTATTTGCAGAATGTAGAAGTTAGACTGATAAAATGCATAAATATGTTGTGTTAGGAATTGATATACCTAACTAGGATCGGTGAGACACAGGACACAAACAGGAATAAAAGCAAGAATCTAATCAAGCACATAAGAACACAAAAATTTATGTGGTTCACCCCAAATAAGGGCTACATCCACAGTTGTTTCGGTTTTTACTATGATCAGAAATTTTACAAGATATATATAGATATATATATATATATAGAGAGAGAGAGAGAGAGAGGGGAAGAGAGTTGTTCCCCCTTAACTATAAATACATAAAAATTATGGCAACATGTCACAAGTGCGGAAATACCAACATACCCTTACTCTAAAGTACCCTTGATCCACGGTCGAGTTGTTAGTGTCCAGTACTTCTTAGGATCCCACACTACCCCCAACATGTTCTTCTGAGGTGCTAGAGTTCTCTTACCTGTATTATTCCGTTGTCTTTGGGATTAATCCTTGTAAATTTGAAGGACAATCCGTTAAGTGTATTTTAAGTTTAACTAATGTGAACTTTTGGCTAGGGATGGCAACATGGCTGCCTATTAACTGCATGTGGTTGATTTTTCTGTTGTTTAGGAAGAGTAAATTCATTCCACCTGCATCAAGTTTCATACTTAAAGCTAAAATTTTTCATCCTGGGTCTTACTTTGTGGAAACAAAAACTGGTTTCCCTAACATAGCTGATACCGAATGACCACCATGCCTACAGAAATTAAACTATTCGTCTTTAGCATTGTTGGAGAATCTTCTTGCTAACTATTTGTCCCGGAGTCATTTTTGTTCTTGTTTCCTGTCCACACAACTGTTTATGAACATAGCCCTCAGTAACTTGGTTGCAACTTGCAAATTTATGAGTTTGGTATGGACAAACACTGCCTAATTTTCCACGTTACAGAAAATAGACAAAAGCTACAACAGTTAAATTTCCTTTTTTTTCCCCTCACCAGTATTGGGAATTACATTTGGAACCTTTCTCTAGCTTCTATCGTGGTGTGCTGGTGCATGGTGGATGGGCTTGGAGTTGATTTATCACGACATTGTTATTTGAGTACTGTTTTTTCTTCATTTTTCTTTGCTGTTTTGTGTTTTGCAGTGGAATTACACTCACAAAGCTAGTCGGAGTCATTGTCCTTTATTTCGCAAAATCAGAGATTTTTGTGGTATAATGATCCATCCCTCTTACTTTCAGTTTTGTTTGCTTGTCAGTTTAGAGGTTTTTGTGGTATAATGATCCATCCCTCTAACTAATGTGATAGAAGATTTTCCTTAAATAAAAGTACATGATCACATAGGGCTTCAAGTGGCATTTTCCACCACATATGTGCCCTGTCATGTAAATGACCATTCTGTAATGCAAAATATTGGACTACTAACCATATATAGGTTTGTGTTTGTGGATTGTAGGTGGTATTGAGTATGTTTGGTCCACCATCGAGAAGTGTGCCCATTGAAAGAGAGCAAGAACTTGAGACTTCCACTTTGTCACACTTGACTGATTGACCAAATGCATTTTTTTTGTGGTATAATGATCCATCCCTCTGACTAATGTGATAGAAGATTTTCCTTAAATAAAAGTACATGATCACATAGGGCTTCTATTGGCATTTTCCACCACATATGTGCCCTGCCATGTAAATGACCATTCTGTAATGCAAAATATTGGACTACTAACCATATATAGGTTTGTGTTTGTGGATTGTAGGTGGTATTGAGTATGTTTGGTCCACCATCGAGAAGTGTGCCCATTGAAAGAGAGCAAGAACTTGAGACTTCCACTTTGTCACACTTGACTGATTGTCCAAATGCATTTGAAAGTTGGGTGGTTTTATGATGTAAAATTATGCAAGCAAGAAATGAAAACAAAATGACGGCAAGATGGAAGACAAACAAATAAGGAGAAAGAGGGAAAGGAAGAAAGGACATGCATGCACAATGAGTTAAGAACATGTAACTGCTTTCTACCCAAATTAATAGTGCATATATTTTGGTCAATGCTTATGGTGTCAAAGTTTCTGTTATCTTCACATTTGTTGTCAGGATCCTACCATTTCTTTCCTTGTCACTATGTTGTGTCAACAGTTGACCCAAACATTAGTAGGTTGGTTTTGGGTTGGATCTATATCTAAATTTGTATAATAATGTATTATTATGTCATGTGATACCATGTAGCTACCAAAGTAGCAATTTTGATGGACATAGGTTTTTCAGAGCAAACTAGGAAACATTGGAGACCAAGTGTTGAAAACAAAAAAAAAAAAACATTTTATGGCCAAAGAGAAAATGTTTAAACTTAACGGGTACAAAGTAAAATTTATCCAACAAATAATTCTTACAAATTTTCATGATACTATTATGTTAAAGTATTTTCAACCAAACTTTCAAATTTAGAGATGTGGATGTTGGTGTTTTTATTCTCCAATTCTTTCACATCAAATGCATTATTCGTCCATACAAATGCATGCAATATAAGGCACAAAACATGCCTCTTTAATCTCCCCTTGTATATTGTTTTGTTGAGCTTTGAGCTTACATAAATCTTCTGTCCTCTTTTTTTTTTTGATTTTTGATTTTTGATGATGAAAGTATAACCTATAATGAAAATAGGATAGTTGCCTCTTAATAAATCTTTACATCTGGCGAGACGAGAGATGAAATGACAATTCAATCCACCGGTGCATGTTAGGACTACCGTTGATAGTACTCTGAACTCTAAACAAAAACCATGAACTTCCCAAAACAAATGCTGTTCAACTAAATATCAAAATGGAACAGGACAAGAATTGCATCACGACATCCTTCAATTACTGTATTGGCTTCCGCCAGGCCCTGTACTCTGTTTTACTGTATTACTGTTCTGCAGGCCTTCGGTAATCCCGGATTACTGGCCGGTTACGGTGCTAAACCCATAGGGCCGGGTTTGGGTCGTGACACTTTGTCCACCAAGTTCGCCTCTTACCATGGAAGTGTGTACTTTCTTATTCACACAGCCCAAAATGGAATTGAAAGTGCTAACACATCTTTTGTCTTTTATGAGACACTGGTCCAAATAGATAACTTTTACATGCCCAACTGAATCTTTGATTAAATTTCAATATAGGTGTACTAATTACGTGCCAGGGTTCCCTAAAAGTCGCTCCACAGCAGCATGAACATTTCCTGAGGTGGCACGTGGTGCCCTAATATTCTCTTGGGTATCAAAGAAACCCATTTCTTGAAGCTGTGACAGTTGAGTAGCATAAAGCTCTTCTGGAGGCACTATGAAAAACAAAGACATATTTGCTTTCAACAAAGGGCTAAAAGGCAAGCTTATCAGAAAAACTTTACATAGAAATGCAATGAAGTTCTTACCATCAGGTCTATTTGGAAGATTTAAGCCACCAGCTCCGAGTCCACCAAACACATTCATCAACAACTCCAGTCCCATATTGTTTTGTGTTCCTGAAATTTGCAGCAATATTAATGGAAGCTTGCATTGAAAGGAAATATGGACAGGCATATCAAAAGAAATCAATTTTCAATAAGTTGCTCAGATACCTGGAGTCCCACCAGTCTGAGCTGTTTCTCTGCCAAAAAAACAGCACGGAATAAGCAACACGGATAACAGAAGATGTCAAAAGATTGCAGGAATACCATGCATCACTAGCATTAATGCCAACAAGAACCAGAGTTAATCACAGGACATGTTTGATACAAACTAATCAATCCATTATTTTTACCTAGTGCTACCCTTTTCATTTAAATCTAAATATTCTCCTGTTTTAAATTAAGCTCAAAGTGGTAAAAATGTCAACAAATGCATCCAAGCGAACACAAAAACAAAAACACAGATACGAACAGACATTGAAATAAAAACACGATTAGACCCCCTAGTAGTTTGTATGCTCATTGCACACCCTGCATACTTAATGCACTTGTAACCCAGCTATGAGAAACCCCAGAGGAAAGTAACAGCTCTAGAAACCACCTACATATGTTGCTAAAAAAAAAGTCCTATCCAACACACTATTGTTCATCTTGAACTGTGGTTTCTGAAGAATTAAACAAAAATCTTCAGTCAGAATAGTTAACATTGAACACACGTCGTGATCACCATATGCACTCAATGATCCAATAAGGGTTGGTCAATTGAGTCATTAACACATGATATTTTGCTAAAAATTAAAAAGAAAAAGAAGAAAGAAAAAGAAGAAAGAACAGAGAAGTGGAAAAAAGAAAAATGTGCTACCAACTGAAAGTTGCAAGCCGTGATCAATGCCTATATCCATAAATTGTTCTTTATGATGCTTCCTGGGATACCCTACCCAAGTGAGAAACCAATAACTAGCCAGCCAAACTCCCACCACCTGGAGGTATTGACATCAACTTAAATAATCAAAATGTCTAGAAGGACCCCATTGGAAGGTCAATCCGTTGTCTTCCCCCCCCCCCCAAGAATCAGGTTCTCAATTCTTCAACTACAATACACAGTCAATGCATGAAATCAGTTACAGAAAAGACCAACCCTTTGATGTGTGTATACATGTTTGTGCATATATATATTTGCTACTTTCAATTATACACACACACCACCAAAAAAAAAAAAAACTATCATTTTTCTGACTGAAGATTAATAAAATTGATTTATAGAAATCTACCAATCAAAACAAAGGAAAGGAAAGAAAATAATCAAAATGGTTCATTCATACTAGTAGAGATCAGAAAAACAAGGAAGGAGCAAAATGGTTTCTCTTTGATTTGAATGTGTGTTCTCATGCTTGTAATCTAATTTTTTTCGGTGAAATTAATCAAGTATACAAATGGTAAGCCAAGTGTAAAACTTGTTAAAGTCTTAAAAAAATTCATTACCTAAACTAACTGATGTCAAAAATCCATATCGAACAAGACTTCTTTTTTACTCAACTCATTCTGTTTCTCACCTAGTTAACTATATGAACAATTTAATAAAATTGAATAGATTGGGAAAAGAAGAAGAAATTCTCTCACCCACTCCTCATTATTCTAACAAAGTATTCATAACTGTAAGGAAACAGTTCATTTGTGATATTCAAATGGACAATATGACCTGCAACATTAGGAACCAACCAACCAATACAAGAATTTTTTTTTTCTTTCCAAACAGAAGGCATTAACATATTAACCCCCCAAAAAATTTTTTTAGAAAAACAAATATACCTTAGAAGCTCCAATCTATAAATTTCTGCATCTATCTTTTAAACACCATCTAACAAACCTTAAAATTCAAACCAAATTTTTATTTCTACAGTTAAAAAGAAACAAATGCAACACCATGTTCTAAAGCTCCAATCTATAACCACTATATTGCTTTAGCAGAAACTCATTAGCACCAAGTTTCAATACCAACTTAGCCTTAAAACCAGCCATTATATTTCACAAATTTCTTTGATGAAAAATAATTTATCCTCTAGACTAAACAGCATGACTCAATTGAACTGGATAGGAGACATATCCGCATCCTTATGTCATTCACATCTTTGCCCAAGGAGCTATGATTTATTGTATGCAGCTGGCCTCTTTTCTATTGAATGACTTTGTCCATGGTTTTTCATGCATATTTCAAGTAAACCAACATTGCCAGAAATTTCATAAAGAAATGAAGTAGCTAGCAATAAGAAAAATTTTAAACCAGGATGGACATGAGAAAGTTGCCCATAATTCGTAAAAATTAGAGAAAAAATTGTATGGAGGATAGCTCTAATGCACACTACTCCTTTTAAGAGTACAGAATTTCAAAGCAAATGAAAATGGCAAAACTCAAAGACAAAACTTGCTATCTAAAACCCATAAATTATTTAAATCACATTTGGTATTTTCTGCCGAGAGTGACAGGTGCCAAAGAGGAACAATTAGATAAGATGCTTTATTGGACACTGTCAATAAGTCCACACTCAGATTTGTCATATGAAACTCTTGAAAGGGCCACAAACTACTTTGACCAAAACAAAATTGGCAAAAAAAAAAAGTCAAAACAGAAAAGGCATAATCAACAATGCTTTGAAATCTATGACCAACAATTTAATTCAAAAAAATAGGCATTTGTCTAACCTACAGTCACTATACTCATTCAAGCTTTACCTGATAGAGGCAACAACAATGATCAAATTGAGAAAGAATACACACATACATATAGAGAGAGAGGGGCGAAACTTGCTAAAGGGTGATGCCCATCATAAATAAAAGTTTTCCACACACACACACACACACACACACACACACACAAGTAAATCAACAACAAATTGTAGAATAGGTAATAATTTGAAAACAAAAAAACAGAAACAAAAGCAAATTTGAGTTCAACCAAAAATGAATTCAATCTTTCTCTTGTGACATCATCTCCCTCTAAAAAAATGACAGTACACCCGCAAGTATCCTACTATCAATTAAAATAAACAAACAAAATAAAAGCACAACTGCCAGTGCCCTGCTATCAATTCAAAGCAAATAAATTCAAAAAAACAGAAGCAATTAGCCTATTATCAATTAACATGAAACAAATAAATAAAATAGCACACCCGCCAGTGCCCTGCTATCAACTAAAATAAACAAATACATAAAAAAAGACAGCACAAATAAATAAAATAGCACACCCGCTAGTGCCCTGCTAGGCTGCTATCAATTAAAATAAACAAATAAATAAAAAAAGACAATACAAATAAATAAAATAGCACACCCGCCAATGCCTTGCTATCAACTAAAATAAACAAATAAATAAAAAAAGACATATTAATTAAAAGCAAATAAATTAAAAAACACACCTGCTAATGCAACCGCTAGAGAGGAAGGGATGGAGGAGGTATAGCTTTACTTCTACGTTAAGATGGAGAAATTGAGGACCTATGACAAACAAAAACAGAACATTGAAATAGAGTTAGTAAAAAAGACAATATGTAAGGAAATTAATGATTGTGGGGAGAAAAGAAAGAATCTATGTACGAAAAATATTATTTTGCACATCTTTTGACATTAACAAACTGCATAAACAATAACAGAGATGAAAGTCTACTACCTTTGTTCAAAGTCTCAATAACCATTACATAAATAAACACTTAAACAAATGTACCACAACCAACCGTTTGACCACTTCAACAAAAAATTAAATAAAAATACATACAAAAAGAAATTATTTGATTGGATGAACTATTGGATTATTTGATAGATCATAACTTGGTTAATTTCCTGGTAGTTTCCTGTGTTAAAGATGAAGTTGTGTAGCTTCTAAATGGATGGACTATTGGATTATTTTTTTTGAAAACTTTGTATCCGGCCTATTGAACTATTGGACTACTGGATTTGGATTATTTTTATTGGATTTTCTGATCTTGATAGAACTTTTATGTTGTGTTTGGATCATGGATAAAAGTAGAAATTTGAAAAGGAAATGGAAAAATGTGGGTGAAATGTCAATAAACTATAATTACATTCAACACACCTTTTCCCTTTCCAAATCCCTAGCTAAATCCATGATCCAAACATAACATTAAGGAAATATGATGGTTTCAACGTTATAGAAAGCAAAGCACATTCACATAATTTTATTCTTCTTTTGTGCTAGTTTATTATTTTCCAAAAAAATTCAAAATATAATAAAAATGTGGGAGTGTATTTTCCAAATGATTTGAGCCAACATCAATCCATATGTTATACTTACATGAAGTTATATATCATGAAGTGAGTAATTATAAATGACAACAACTATGGCTTTGATTATAATTCTCGCTTAACATAAATTATTTTTACGTAGAAAAGTTCATAGAATTTGAATGTTTGGTATAGATTTAACTTGATGTGATGTGGACCACACCCTATATCAATGATGATCATTGATGATGCTAATAATGACAGCTATTAGGACATATTGGTAGTTTACCCTTTTATTTGTTGCTGGATTCAATGTGATGATAATGAAAGCATTTTATTTTATTTTTACTTAAATTACTTCATTTTTGACACATGGTGGCATAGGTAGCATCAGAGCTAATTCGAAGTTCTGCTAAGCCAATTCTCGAACAATATAGATCAGTTATCTTATCATCTCTCAAGTTTTCAAAGTTGACTCTTGGTACTGTGGCTGCACAATTCACAGGTTTGTTTGATTTCTGTTTGATCTTTGATGAGTAAGTTTAACTAATTTTTAACTAGTTAAATAAGGAAGTTTAACTAATTTTTATCCCAATGCTTTCATAGATTTTGGAAAGAATTGTACTTCTCAATTTACAATTACATTCTTCTAAGAAAATCAAATGAGAAAAGAATGGCCTATCAGATTGGATTGGTCTAAAGTTATTGCACATTAGCAAGTCAGAATTCACTCCACAACTTCTGTTTCTTTAATCTTCAAAAATATATATATATATATATTTTATTTTTCACTTTATGGAATTATTATGGCCAGAGGTAGAGCCAATCATCTTCAAGAATAGACACAAGAATTGAAAGAAATAATTTAAATTTATTTGGACCATCAATTTTATTTTATTTTTAATCCTTTTTAAGTTATTGATAGAAAATTGTTGATTTTTTAGGGGTTCCAA